GAAGCAGACTGCCACATCTTTCTCCCGTGGAGCCCCTGGTGGTTTCAAACCACCAACCTTTCAGTAAGCAGTTGAGTGCGTTAACCACTTCACCACCAGGGCTCCTATAAATACCTAGCATGCGTCTCCTAAAAATAAAGGCATTCTCTTACATAATCATATATTATTATTACCTAAGGTAATTTTCAAAAATTCTTTACTAACAAAAATCCAGTTCATATTCAAATTTTCTCAATTGTTCCAGGATTCTGTCAAAGACCATATATTGCATTTGGTTGTTATGTTTCTTTAAATCCAGAACAGTTCCACCACTTTTCTTTTTATGGCAGAGTCCTTTTGTTTACTTTCTGCTTGGCAGTGTATAGCTACTGATGCTAGAAGGACCAGTTCTAAAAGTAATTAAAGAATAAATAGCCAGGAAAAGAAGAGAGAAGATAAGATCTTGGACTTGCTAGGGCTCTAAGAAGTGGGTAAATGGTGGTATAAACTATCTCTCTGCTTAATGAAATCTGCCACAAGTTCTTTTTTTTTTTTTATTGCTGTCTTCCCATATTTAATAGTATCATTCATGAGTTAATTTTTGGGTTTGAAAACACTGACAGTCTTCTTTAGTTGTCTTTCAGTTTTAATGAAATTCTGTTTCTTCCTAGGCCTTTAAATTCATGCCAGTCACAAGTACATATCTTTTGGCCCTCTTTTGGTCTTTCCATGTTTGATTCCTGTTCAGTTGATGTTGGATGGCCTTAGTAAGAAGCAACATCTAGTCTGCTGATCCTTTTTCCAGTCGGTTACCTTTTCTGTCATTCAGAGCTAGTAAGGCCTCCCTGATTACTGGTGGCCTTGTGGCCTCAGTAGCAACATCTTTGGCACACCATATGTGAGGGAAACTTCTTGTGGTTTGGGGTAAGTACGGCCCAAAGCCCTAAAATGCAGTTGTTCATGCCTAACTGATTGGTTCATTATTCTAGTTTCCTGTTTTAATTTGTTTCCAAATGGTTAGTTTTCTTTTTCTCAAATAATTTGGGTCCTTTTGAGTTACTCACTTGTTCAGAGAATGGAAAGAGAAAGTTTCTAAATTTATTTCCCTGGGAACTTGAGCTAATACTCTGACTTCTGGCATTCCCACCCACCCACCTCCACCCCCGCCCCCCATTTAATACCAATTTCCTAATTTCTTTAACTGTTTTCTGCCACCACATTTTTGAGTGATGTTCCTGGCTATGTATTCAGTATAGATGGTTTTTCCTCATAAGACCAGTAATCTTCTGCCTTATGTGTGTATACATAGTACAAAAATAATATGTATGTTTATGAATATGTACAGGATTAGTTATTTAATCATTCCAGCTTAACAAGATAGTTACAACTAATTCATTTATAGAATCACCCATCATGGTACTTAATACATTCTTAAGAAAGTCAGATTTTTAGAGGGCTATTAGATAATTAGAAAATTCTGGGTAAGTAAAAAGTTTTGTGCCTTTGTGTAGGTGTGGCTTTGAATAGGTGTGGCTCTGAGTTCTACAGTAGTTGACTGCCTAGCCAGGGGCACCAGTGGCCTCATCTGTAAACTAAAAGGTTACATGTTATTGTTTCTCAGTTACACAATTTCATTTCATCAGGGAATCCATATCAGTGTCACCAAACTCTTCTACTCGAATCAGGTTAATTATTATCAATGCAATTGAAACTGTATTGTGCACTACACCCATTTTTCACGGTAAGTAGGAGTAGCTGCCTTGGGCTGTTAGCCTTTGCGTGAGAGACAGTTGGCGTTACCCTTGTCTGAGTGTCCCGTTTGCTGCTGTCTACTAGACTATAAGCTTTGTGAGAGGGGGTACCTTGCCTGTCTTGCTATCTGCTCTATCCTCTGACTGAATACCTAGCACATGGATAAATGCTGATTAATTGAATATTTGTTGAATGAATGACTGCCAGCTTACAGTATTTACACACATTGCCTCATGTACTCTTCACGGCCAACCATATAATGAGGTACGTGGTATCATTCTAGTTTTGCAGATGAGCAAACTGACATAGAGGCTTAACCATTTGCTCAAAGCCCCACAGCCAAGAGTAGGAGCTGACTTCAAACAAAGCCTGTGGTTTTTTTTTTTTTCCACTAGTTTACATTGCCTTCCTTTGTTTATCCAGGGTGTTTTAGCTATCTGAAATCAGATTAAAATTTCTTTTTGAGCGAAAACACTGAAGGAACCTGGAAGTTTAAGTTTTGAGAGTGGACTAGATCCTGGGTATCATTGTTCTCCTTTACCATCACTTCAGACAGCTGTGTTTCATGTAAAATTTCTTGTTGGCTAATAATAGCTGAGTGTGTTGTTTTGAATGAGTGTACATGCTATCATGCCCACTTGTTCTGGCACTGAATTGGTTCCTGCTGTTGCATAGCCCAGTGAGACAGTAATCTAAATGGCTTGAGCGTCCAGGAGCTAGCTACCTACCTTTGGAACTGTCTATCTGTCTCATGGGTTAGCACACCAGTGAGCTGAAGTCCACTTTCCACCTTGCACTTGGGAAGTGAATTGGCTTTGTCATCCTCCACCCCTGCTTCCTGCTAGGACTTAAGTTCACTACTTTCAGTTTCAGTTTGGGTGTTACAGCTTTCTTGATCTTTCTCTGGCTGAGTTACCTATATAGTACAAGTATAAATAAGCGGTTTTGTTGGCTTTGGCTGTGGGATGAGTTGGGGTGTGTGAAAGGAGATTTGAGGAGAGAGGGGTGGATCTGCCTAAATATGGTGGCTTGGCTTTTCCACTTGTTAGTTCCTGCTGCAGTGATCTCGAAGTCTTGTCCTAATCGCAGAGCCAAGTGGTGAAATATGACACAGGCTGGGATGAGAATTGGCAGTTGTCCTGAGTGCACAAATAGTTTCTTCCCTCCCAAGCATATTTTACAGCCAAGTGAACAGAAAACAATTCAGCAGGCTACTTGCTAGAGACCTGCAGCAAAAAAAAAAAAAAAAACTTTACAAAAAGCCGGCATGTAGCCTTTACAAAATGTTTTCAAAAGAACAAAACGCAAAGAAGTCTTCTTTTTCTTTCCCTCATTTTACCCCTGATCTTGAATTCTAAGGCTGATTCCAGATATACTTACTCATAAGCCAGTTTGTGGGTGGTAGGAGCTGGACTTTCCCCAAGTTTGACCAGTCACATGTCCTTCACTTTGGATTACTATCAGCTAGATAGGAAGTTGCTAGGAAAACTAAAGTCTTCCTGTTGAAGGGTCAAGCAAACAGGCGCAGCTTGGTCTGTGGCCCAGCTCTGCTCCATGTAAATTTTATTTAGCACACTTGATAAGCAGGCATTTGGTGGTGTTGTAATTCCAGTCACTACTGACTAATATGACAGGCCACCGTTGCATGAGACTTGGCTTGAGGTAGCTGCTCTAAAAATATAGCCTTGCTTTCTGGCAGCTGCAAACACCTGGAGGAGCAGACAGGCTCTCCAACAGAAAAGTATTTGCTGTTAGTAGCATATCTGTTGCACTGTTGTGTATTGTGAGAGCTTGTTTCATACTATGTTTATGCATAATTAAACACAACCCACTGGATCCATTGGCTTATGGTTAGAAAAATGCAATTTGTGTTATTGTCTACTGTGGGGACTCGGGATGATGATTAAGACCAGAAGAGAAGCAGTTAATGTAATTACCACCAATTTCTTTGATCTCTGTAATGAACACAGCTTACTTAAACACCTTAGTGGCTTTGGTTTCTGCACTGATGTACCAAGCTGTCAATCGTGTGATTCTGTTCAATTGAGGACTCTGGTTTGTGTGCTTGGTAGTTCCTTCTAACAAAAAGGAGTCTGTGAATAATTAAAAAGAACACTAATATTTACAAGATGTGCTTCCAAAAAAGAAACTGTAAATGGCTTTTAAACATATAAAAAGATATTCAGTCTCTCTCATAATAAGAGAAAAGCATTTTAATATCTCATTGAAATTTTTTACTTATCAGGATGGCAAAAATCCAAAACATTGGAGAAACACTGTTGATGAGCAAGTAGGGAAGAAGGCACTCTCATACATTCTTGGTGGGAGCAGTAAGTGTACAGCTTTTATTGAGGGCCATTTGGACATATCTCTTAAAACCACACGTGTATATATACCCTTTGACCCAACAATATCACTTACAGGAATTTATCCCACAGATGGATGTGTGCAGTCTTTGTACATAAATAAGGTTATTTACGGAAGAATAAAGATTGGAAACAAACTCAAAAGTGAACTGGTTAAATGAATAATGATGCATCTGTACAATGGATATAGCTGTAAAAAAGGAGTAAACTATGAATTCACATGGCGGTGTCTTCGAGATATAGTATTAAGGGAATATAGCAAAGGACAGTGTGTAATATGCTACTGGTTGTGTATAAAAGGGGAGGCAATATGAATATATATCTTATTTATTTGTATGTGTGTAAGGACGTTCTGGAAGAACTTTAAAGAAAGTAATATGAATAGTTTGTGTGTGTATTTGTGTTTGTGTGTGTGTGTGTTTTGAGGGAAGAAGAGGGAAGATGGGTATTTTTCGTTGTATGAAACTTTGAACCATGTGCATGTATTACTTTTTCAAAAAATTAAATATTTAGAATATTTTTTAAAGATAGAGTGTCTTAGAATTCCACAGTCACAGTTACAGAAGAGATATCTTATAATTGACTTCTATACCCATACTAGCTATCTTTGTGGGTAAGAGAGAGATTTCATCATATTGATGCTGATGGCACTAATGTTTGTTCCTTTCTATGTGAGTACTTTGGGAAGAAAGTGATAGTGATGCACAAGTTTGTTGGTTCTGGTGGGGTTTTTTGTTAGTTTTTTGTTCCTCAGCCAGAATCAATGGCTCTGAAGACTTAAAAGAAGTCTGGGGTGCTATGACAAACGCTAAGAAACAGGCTTTTTCCTTTGGTTTGACATTATCTTAAGATAATGTCCTCTGGATAGGACTGAAGTCTGTTGCCTTTTTTCTTTATTTGTAGGAACCTACAAGCAGCAATTGGCGCTTATTATGACTTTGAGAGCCCAAACATCAGCGTGCCCTCTATGTCCTTTGTTGAAGATGTCACCATAGGAGAAGGAGAGTCGATACCTCCTGATACGCAGTTTATAAAAACATGGCGGATCCAGAATTCTGGTAAATGTACAATGGGCAGTTCTTCTTTGCCCAGTTTTCTTTTCCTTAGTAGTTAAATGAAAAGGAATTGTTTTAAGTTATGTAATTGTATAGCTCAGAGCTTTTTCTTATACCCGCTGTAGCATTTTCTTGTACTGGCATGATGACCAAACATTGAAATATTCCCTGTCCTGGATTATGAAGAATTTAGATCTCATCCTTCCAAAAATACCTATGACTTGACAGCATCTAAACACAATTCAATATTCATTTGGTACCAGGAACCAGTCCTGTTTGTCGTGGTGGTATTGTCTCCACCTGTACAGTTCTACTCCATCATTTTATTTCTGCTCTGATTAATCTTCCAGTCATTCCCAGCAGGCTAGAGGAGGTTATATCCTTGAATAGAACAAGGTAGTTGGACAGAGCTGTGAGCATCTGCTCTTTGGAAAGCTCATTATTTTGGAACCACAAGGATAATTCTCTCTGAAGTTTCATTGGGATATGTATCTGAGGAATTAGTAGCACTTTGAAAAATAGGGTAAGAAGTGTGGGGATTTGCTCAGAATGGGAAGATTGGTAAATTGTTTAAAAGACAGTAACAACATTGTTTTGAATATACTGCTAACTTCATTTTCAGAAAAATTAAAAATAAATTAACCATTGTTCTTTGAAAATAGTTTCTGAATATGTGTCTGGTAACTGTTAATTATCACTTTTTATATGTTGAATTCTTTTCTGGTGACTTGTTTCATTTGGATGGACTTAGAATCCATTGTCCCATCCATGACAATTTATACTGGCTGTGTGAGAGTGTTTTGACTTCATTGTTAATGAGGACTGTTAGAAAAATTCTGAAAGATGGAAACCAGGCAAAAAGGAGTAATTTAGCTAAAAATGTGGGTGGGTTTGGGGGGACTCTATCTACCAAGGTAATCTGATGTAGAGCTCTGGGAGCTCAGAGAAACCCATAAAAGTGACCCATTATTGACTCTGTTTACTTTTCAGTTCTTTACAATTCAGTTCTTTATTCTGGGGAAAAACTAGCTAAGCCAGCATTTTATATAAGAACGAATGTACCAAGTTAAATTGTTATTCTTAGTTTTTCTGGCATTTTTAAAAAGTGAATCTCCCTTAGATGAAGGTTGGTGTGTTGCTGACCAAACAAACATCATCTGGACTGACCCAATGTTGTAGATGACTTGGGACACATGTGGCTTTGTAAAATTTTCATTAGCTCCTTCCTTTTTTGGTTATAACAGTAGTGCATTGGTAGTTTGGGAAGCACATGGTAACACAGGAAAATAGCCATATTTTCTGTTTTTCTTGAAATTCTTATTTGTTCAAAGTCTGATTTTCTTCACTTTGCGTAATTTCTTTCTCACTTTTCTTAATTTTGTCCGCTTTTAACAACATCAAGACAGTTTCTTCAATTCTGGTTTTATTCATCACGTTTCTTCTCTCATTTCTAAAAACTGCTATTACTGATCAAAAATGCTTTTAAAATCTATACATGAATTTTTTTTTTTAATGAGTGAAGCTTATTTGGGAAATATGACTTATTAAAGTTTTATTTATTTTTTTAAATTAAACCAAGACCTTGTTTACTTACAGTAAAATCACTGAAAGTGATCCAGCTTTCCATGAGCTTTTTATTGAATTTTTTTGTGTGTGTGGTAAAGTACATATTACACAGAATTTGCCGTTTTAACCATTTTTAAGTGTACAACTTAGTGACATTAATTACACTCACCATGTTGTACAACCATCACCACTATCTGTTTCCAAAAAGTTTTCATCACCCCAAACAAAAAGTCAGTACCCCTTCAGCAATAACTCCTCCATTCTTGCATCTTCCTAGCTCCTAGTTACCACTAAATTTTTGTCTCTATGTATTTATCTGTTCTAGATATTTCATATGAGTGGGGTCATAAAATATTTATCCTTTTGTGTTTGACTTATTTTCCTTTTTTTACTCAGCATAATGTTTTCCAGGTTCATCCATGTCGTATCAGAATTTCATTTTCTCTTTATGGCTGAATAATATTCCATTGTATGTATAGATCACATTTTGTTTATCGATTCATCTGTTGATGGACACTTGGGTTGCTTCCATCTTTAGGCTATTGCAGTGAATGAACATCAGTGTGCAAGTATCTGTTTGAGCATGTCCTTTTTATCCTTTTGAATATATACCTATGAGTGGAATTGCATGGTAATTCTGTGTTTTCAGACATTGAAAGTTGTTAACAGTACTTTTGAACTGTTTTAAATACTGTCTTGTTTCAGAATACCATTTTATATTTCAAAAAGCCTCTTGGTATATCTGCTGGCTCTCTAGATAGTCCTTGGGCTAATGGGGGCTGGGAGAGGTTGATGTAGTGGCTAGAATGTCAGATTAGAACCTTAAAAAGCCTACCTTTCCGCTTGACTTGGAGAAAATCTGTTGGTGGGCCTGAACGCTTTTCCCCCCTGCTTTTGCTTAGTTGGACTCCAGTTTAACATAGCCTCTGGACCTGCCGCCTTTCTTCCTGCAAAAGGGAATTCTTGTGTCTGAATACCTTTTGAAAGGCTTTGGGCAACAATTGCTAGAGATTTTATCCTTCTAGGTGCTTTGCACAAATAAATTTTTTTATTCTTCAAGAAATTGTTCAACAAGTTATAAAACAATTTTATATCTGTAAATTGAATGGTTTCCGTTTGGTTAAGGAGAAGCTGGTCTTCCATAGCTGAGTAACACCCATTTATTAGAGAGAGAGAGAGCATGCACGTGTATGACTTCTTCGGCATCATCCTAATCTGGCCTGAGTCCTTCCTGAAATAGAGTAGTAACACAGAAGTAGGGCAAGTCTCAGCTATTTCTCCTTTGGCTCTCTTAGACTCATTCATAACTTCCCTAAGAGACAAGTGCCCACTGAAAAAGAAGTACATAAATAATCATTTATTTTCATGGTGCTTCTCTGTTATCATGTTTTAGACATGCCAGCATTCAAATACACAACAGATGAGATTGATAGAAACTGCATGTAAATTGTCCCAACAGCTTCCCCAAAGAAAAGTATGCATCACACATTGTTTAAAATTAAACTCCTAATATTTTTTAAATCCTTAGATTCAGACCATAGAAACAGAACTGAGACATTTAATGACAAATGCAAAAACCCAAGATCCAAACTTTTGTTGCTGTAGAAGTATAGGAAGCTTGGGAAACCTAATCAGGAAACCTTATATTTGGAAGTTTGAGTTTTTGAAACTGTCCCTCTATTTTAAAAATGTAAGTAGGCAGAATTCTCTTTACCAACACTTACAGTTTCTCAGTTATTACACCATCATCCTCTGTTGTCCAACCATGGTGAATGGTAGGCTGAGTGAGTTATGATAACCCTAGTGCTTCTCTGAGTTTGGTGGGAATAATTGTCATACGAGGGAGTGGCTTGGACATATCAGTTGAGTCCTATTAGTTTTTGGACTACATAGAGGTGGCTCTAAAACAAGAGTTGGGAAGAAGACCGAGGAAGAACAACCATTTCCACCAGTTTTCTTTTGGCCTGTTAATCTAAAATAGTGAATTTTCTGTCTTTCTCTTTACTATGACTATACCAAAACCCACTGCTGTCGAGTCGATTCTGACTCACAGTGACCCTATAGGACAGAGTAGAACTTCCCCATAGGATTTCCAAAGCTGTAAATCTTTACGGAAGCAGACTGCCACATCTTTCTCCAGTGGAGCAGCTGATAGGTTCGAACCGCTGATCTTTTTGGTTAGCAGCCGAGCGCTTTAACTACTGTGCCACCAGGGCTCCTGTCCTATGACTATAGAAAAAATAATTCTGCTTCATTCATTCATTCATTCAACAAATTTTATTATGTTCAGTCACCTTATTAGGTACAGAGGAAAAATGGTGACAGAATTGATGAAGGTCCTTCCTTCATGAAGTTTAATTTAAAATGCAGTCTCCGAACTCAAAAGGGTTAAAAAGATAGTGAATCTTCACTAAGATATGTCTTCTGCATTGCTGTTTGGATGTTCCTTATTATTTCAAAACTATTTCTATAATCATTTATACCTAGTAAGTCCTAGGCTTTTTGGAACTGATGCACTGTTATTTGACTTTTGCGATGCTCTTTACCATCTCAGAATTGCCATATCATGGGTTTTTTCAATAAAATGATATTCTGTGATAATCACAGTGTTAATCATGTACTTCATTGTGAGAACTTGGAAAGTCATAAAATAGTCTTTCTTTTCTTCTAGATAGAGCTATTCCCCCTTAAGCTAATTTGTAACTGAGACTTAATTTGAAGCCCTGTGATTTATACTTCTCAAATCTACATTTCAGTTATGTGTAGCCTTGTGGTCTGAACAGCTCACAGTATTTCCCTTTCTTCAGTATCAGGCATCAGTATCTTTGACCTTTTCAGAGTTGCCCGACCTAACACTGTGGCTGTAAGAACCATATATCATGGTGAACTATTGATTACTCTTGGAAGACAGATGTCTGGGTTCTTCATTCCATAACAAATTAACACTTTAGAGATGATGGTGGATAACTCTTCCGATACTTTATTCAAGAGGCTTTCCAGGTACCACATTGAACAACAATAGGTATCTGGAGTACTAATAAGATCAAGACTCTAGCTGCTACCAACTAACTTGGTTTCCCTAGAATATGACCATGCTCCTTCCTTTGCACAGCTGAGAGGACCCAACCTTCTCAGCTCCTGTGGTTGTCTGCTCAGTACAGCCAAGTCTTTCCCACACCCCGACAGTCTTGGTTTTTCTTAGTTTTTTAAAAGTTCAAAGACAGGCACATTCTTTGGTTTTCATATAAACATTGCCTTGTCCCAGATAAGTGTGTTTGTATGTGTGTTTTAAAGAATAATGGTGAATTCAGCCTTATAACAGTAGTTTTATTCTCCTCTCGAATCTTGGTCTTTAAAGGGAATGACATTTTCTAAGGTGTCAGCTACTGTTTTTCTTGACCTAAAAAAAAGCTTTTGCTCAGAAATGAAAAACAGAATTAACATGCACTGCCAGTTTATTATCCACAACCCTTCCACCAGCTGTGGTTGCTTTTCGTAGTGTTAAGAGGGCACTTTGCTGGCAGGTTTCTTCCTTGTTTGAGAGCGAGTGACAAAATGTAGCTTCAGCTGTTACCCTTAAGGCCCAAGGACCACAGAGTGCACTGTTCATTTTGTGGCTGAGATCTCAGCAGTGGCACTCTGGTTGCTTTTCTACCTCTGGTTCCTTTTCAGAAGTAGTGAGCCGTCAGATATATCAAAACCAGCCTGGCACTTCATGGACTGAGGCATCCCAGATTACTGCTAGGAGGCAAATTACAAGCATGCTGTGTCCTGAGAGCCTGGCTGTGTCCAGATTTTCATAATGATTTATTTTTATAATGAATGTATATATCCCAAAAGAGGAGTATAGAGATTTCTGTTTACAGTAAAAAGAAGTGTATCAATTGGTGTATGTTTGAGAGATTTCACAGGATCACAGAGATCACATCTAGTCACTTGTTAACTGCTTGACTGGTTAGAACAAGTCAGTACATGGATATCTCATTTTGAATTCATTTACATGAAAGTAGTTACACAGGAATAGGTATCAAATAAGATCTTTGGCACTTCCAAAGGCAGAAAGATATTCCTGCCAAAGCCATTTCTCTGTATTGCCATTCCTGTTCTTTCCTTAGCATCTCTGGCTGGTGCCATCGCCCCTCAGAGCCACAGTTCGTTGATACTGCTATCAGAGGAGTTCACCCCCCTATCCATATCTTCCCTACCACGGTTTGAACCTGACAACTAAACTTTCACTCGACTCCTGCATCTGGTATTTGTATAGAGTCTCTTGCGCCAGGGTGGTTTTATAGTTAAGAACCCCAGAAGAAAAGTCAAACATTGGGCAAAAAGCAGTTTTAAAATGAAAATAATATTATGGAAGATACTCCTTATGTGTTTTATTCTCTCGCCTTGATGGGAAAACTGACAGCAGACATATTTTTACTCAGGATGTCATCTTAAGAAGTTCAGGTGCAAATGGACATATATTACCTCTTAGTAGAAAAAGCAGTCCCCCAAAGATATGGGACTGTGATCTCCATGGCTCTTCGCAGACAGCATTTTTATAGGTACTACAGATTCAGTGTGATGTTTGGCCTTCCCTGGGATCACCAGAAGCATGCGTCTTCTTGCGGAACTGTGTTAGTTTTGCCTTATGTGCATCCTCTTAGGGACAGACTGTTGGTCAGAGGTTGTTGACTCAGATGATAATTCCTTCTCATCAGTCATGCGAGACATCATAGCTCAAGGATGTGGTTAGTTTTCTATATGTTGTATATGAGAGAAAGAATCCTTCTCCACGGTTTTGTAATAAACTGCACCCAACCTAGGACCACTGATTGCCTAACTTTTTTTTTCTTTTGCTTGAACTCAGGGGCAGAGGCCTGGCCCCCAGGGGTTTGTCTTAAATATGTCGGGGGAGACCAATTTGGACATGTGAACATGGTGATGGTGCGATCGCTAGAGCCCCAAGAGATTGCAGATGTCAGCGTCCAGATGTGCAGCCCCAGCAGAGCAGGAATGTATCAGGGACAGTGGCGGATGTGCACTGCTACCGGACTCTACTATGGAGGTGAGTATGTCATTGTGCAGCCCAGGGTGAGGGAATTAAGGTAACATCTTACAGCATATCCTTCATGTTGTTCACAGAACTTGTCAAATGATGTAACAGGGCATGGCCTCTTTCAAATAGTCACCCCATGGAGATAAATGATTAATTGGTTCAGTCTAGGACTCTCCCTTTTCCCCTAGAATTTAATTAAAATTTAGTGAAGTATGTGAGGTACTATATTTTGCATTCTAAACAATGAGTTGGCAGTGCTGCGGTTTTTAGTATATAATCTGTTAGGTGCTGTAAGAATACTGAAGGCAGTCCCTGATCTCAGAGTCTCTAGACGCAAGTCAAATAAAAAATAATGTACAAAATGTGTGGTATCTGACAACCTGTCATGCTACTAATACTTCTCACCCCATCCCTTCATTGCCAGACTTTGAGCAGAGTGACCTATGCTCACTGTCTCTTCCTCCCTGTTTTCCATTCACTCTTCAACCCAATTTATCCATTACCCACTCCTCACTCAATGAAACTACTCAAACAGAGATTATCAGCGACTACCCAATTTGCAAATCCAATAGCCTCTTGATAGTCTTCATACTAATCGACCTTTGAATTACCACTTGACACCACACTCCAAATGTTTTTTGAAATATGTACCTCCCTAGACTGACACGACACCTTTCCTGTTTCTCTTCCTCCTCTCTGAAGGTTCTTCCTTTGTCTCTGTATAGTGTCATCTTTGCCCTGGCCTCTTTTAAGAGCTCCAGATCTGTGTTTTAACTGCTTATGGACAGAACACCTGGATTGGCCGTAGATTTCTGAATTTTAATCTCTCTCAGACAAAACTTATATCCTTCTCTCCAAAACCATTAATATCATCTGCACCCTGCTGAGATGATCAGGTCAGAAACCTTCGAGTCCCTCTTTTGTTCTGTCTTATCTTCCTTAATCAGGAACCAGTTCCTATTGGTTCCACTATATCCCATGCCCTTGAGGTCCAAACAGGAACAAATAGTAAATAGTTCTTCCCTCAGACAGCTCTTCACTGGACTCATGGCCTGTAGGCTAGTGGAACCTTTGGAATTACTTCAGGAGGAACTGAAATTAATGTTCTTGATATATGCTTTTGCAGCCAGTGGACATTTTAAATATTTTTACAATCTCAAAATATTTTAATGTTAGAAAGGGTGTCTCATACTACTTACGTGACATCATTCTTTGTCTAAAACATTGCGCCTTTTGTAATAGCCAGACACCTATTGTGATAAAGCCAAGCACTTGGCAAGGGACTTAAAATTCCTCACAATCTGGCCTTATCTCATTTTCACTCTCATCTCAGTCACCTCTTCACTCCCCCAAAACCATTCCCTGAAGACACCACATGCTGTCACTTCTTCATGCCATTGTTCGTGTTATTCCCATTACCTGAGATATATTTTTCTTTCCCTTTCCACTCAGCAGACTTGTCTTCCGTCCTTAGGGCCCTGACTAGTCACGTTTCTTCCTTCCCTCCTTCTGTCTTTCCCTCTTGCCCCACTTTCCCTACCACTCCAAGGAAATTCATCTCTCCCTTTTTCATTAATATTATACACGCGCTCATCATACTGACCACATCATATTTTAGGTGTTTGTTTACTTACCCTTTCTCCTACTATACTGTGAACTATTTGTTGAATAGCAAATGAACATGTGATCACATATCAGCATGCAGAGGGATTATTTGTCTCATGGTCTGTTTATGTTGTCCTTTCTTCCTACCTTTATCCCCATCATGCCACATCTAAGTGTCACCCTGCCCTTCAGGACTTTGTTCTCAGACTACCTTGGCTAAGAATCCTCTTACCTGCATGGTTAAAGTAGTTTCTCCCACCTGTCAACTCCCATTGCACTATCTCTTCACCTCTCTCTGGCACTTCATCTCTTTCTACCCAGTTAATTTGAAAAACGTCTCACATCATGTTTAAAACTTAAGATGATATATGTCCAATTTATCTTTGTAACTCTTCAAAAAACTGAGCTGAACACAGAGCGAGAGTGGGCCCTCAGTAAATTTTTTAAATGAATGTCAGTGTTTTTAAGGGGAGAGATAGACAATATACATGTCTTATTTTTTATTCCTTTGTTGCAAAAGTATTGCTGCTTAGTGTTCTCCAGGGCTTGAGAACACTAGTCTTGTATTTTTGCGTTCTTTAGTGTTAGATTAAAGATAATTACTACTACGTGGGCCATTAAGTTTTATACTTGGAATAGCCCTCTCAACTTTGAGAGGTGGAGTATAAATCAAAACTATACTGACTTTGGGGGTAGTAAAAAGTTTAAAACCTCATCCGGATTTCTTATAGTCTGTAAGTTGTTTGTCAGGACTTTGTGGAATATGATACCTTCAAATGATCTTAATTTATCTATTCTGTCGATTTCAAGCATTTTTCTTAAGCACTGGAACCCCTTTCTTGATAAAAGCATATATGGATGCCCCTCCCAAAAAAAGAAAGGAAAAAAGTGAAACTTGTCTTGTTAAATTGAGGCCCTCCTTGGCCTGTGCTTTCTTGTCCTTCTCTGTCTGAGATTACCTCCAGGGCTCTGTGGAGTGTAATTTTCAATCCCTTCATCTGCTCTAGTAAAGAAGTTAATGCCATTTTACAAACTACCATATTTCATTGAACCCAAACTAATTAAGTGTAAAGCACATCTTGATATCAGGGATGTTAAAAATGACTGACAGAAAGTAAATATATTATGTATAAAATTACAACTATGAACATATTTATTTTTCCCCATATAAAAATTTATACATACATTGTTATGTGACCCTAACTGCTCTCCCCACACTATGATGGCTCACTCCTCCTTTCCACCCGATTCCCCATGTCCATTCAACCAGCTCCTAACCCTTTCTGCCTTCCCATCTCACCTCCAGACAGAAGCTGCCCATTTAGTCTCTTGTATCTACTTGAGCTAAGAGACACACTCCTCATGAGTATCACTTTATATCCCACAGTCCAGTCCAATCCCTGTCTGAAGAGTTGGCCTCAGAAATTGTTTTAGTTCTGGGCTGATGGAGAATCCGGCGGCCATGCTTTCCGGGGTTCCTCCAGTCTCAGACCATTAAGTCTGGTCTTACGAGAATTTGAGTTCTACACCCCACCTTTCTCCTGCTCCATCAGAGTCTCTCTGTTGTGTTCCCTGTCAGGGCGATCATTGGTGGTGGCCGGGCACCATCTAGTTCTTCTGGTCTCAGGCTGATGAAGTCTCTGGTTTATGTGGCCCTTTCTGTCTCTTGGGCTAATACTTTCCTTGTGTCTTTGGTGTTCTTCATATGAACATTTTTAAAAAAAAAAAAAAAGCCGTATCAACCATGATTAGCTCTTGCCAGGTTCTTCCGCTCTTACCTTACTAGTTCATTGAGTACAGAGTAGTGGTAAGCGTATAGACTGTAGACTAAGTTGTCTGGACACGACCTTGGACAAGTAATGTAGCCTCTTTGTGCCTTATCTTTCTGTTTTAACAGGATTTTTTTAAAAAAACTGTTTATTTTTGTTTTTGGTGAGATGGTCTTTTCTATAGTCTTTTGATGGTCTTCTCTGGAAAGAATTTAGTTTCCTTATTTTTGAATATCACTTACGTAGTTTTATTTCTCTTCCTCAAAAGGAATTTTTGTTATATTCAATCATTTATGTGGAGCCCTGATGGTGTAGTGGTTAAGAGCTTGGCTGCTAACCAAAAGATCGGCAGTTCGAATCCACCAGCCACTCCTTGGAAACCCTATGGGGCAGTTCTCCTCTGTCCTGTAGGGTTGCTATGAGTTGAATTGATTCGACGGCAGCGGATTTTTTTTCAATCATTCACACAGTGATTTTTTTTCCCTTCCCATTTTGGCTTGGTTGCAGTCTCAGAGTTTTTCAACAAGGGTACTTTCAGCGTGTTTTATGGACAGTTCTTCATTACGTGGAGCCATATTGCAAGGCCTCTCATCTCATTCCACTAAATACCTCTAGCTTCACCTATTTATCAACAACCCTCTCCCCCACCATACAAATTTCCAACTCCCTTGGTTGAGAACCACTAAATATCTGATTTATTGGCAGTATCAATTCCAAACATGTTATTTTATTTTATTTTTACTGACTTTGATTTCCCTCTCCACTCCATCCCCCAAAAGGAATTTGTTTTTTAGATAAAAGTTAATGTTTATCCTAGTGCCTACTGTATGGTAAGCATTGTATTGGGCTTTTTTGCATATAAATTACCTTATGAGAGAAATGTTAGCTGTACTTTATGAGTGAGGAACCTGAAGGCTAAAGAGAATCAGTAATTGACCTGAGTTCTAGTAAAAGTTATAAATTAGCTATAAATTTTAGTTTATAATATAAATTAACAAAAGTAAATTTATGATCTTTGTCATTTGATACAGTGAAAAACATATGAAATAATTCACTGCAGATTAGTAAGTAAGTACAAGTAAGCCCATGCTTACCTTGCTTGCTGGGTAATCTCTCTCTGTCAGGGACTGGAAATTTAAAGAGAGGCTTTGATTCTGTAGGAAGGTGCTGTGGGGTTGGGAAACAGACAGATGCCAGCTATACCTACAAGCAGAATCTTTTTATGTGGTGAAAAAATGTGAAATTGTTCACTACAGATTAGTAAGTAAGCACAAGCAAGCCCATGCTTACCTTACTTATTAGGTAATCTGCTCCTGGGAGACTTGGGTTCATTTCCTGGCCAATGTACCTCATGAGCAGCCATCACTCATCAGTGGATGCTTGCATGTGGCTATGATGCTGAACAGGTTTCAGTGGAGCTTCCAGACTAAGACAGGCTAGAAAGAAAGGCCTGGCAATCTACTTCCAAAAATCAGCCAGTGGAAGCCCTGTGATCACAACGGTCTGATCCATAACTAATAATGAGAATGGTGTAGGACAGGCAGCGTTTTGTTCCTTCGTGTGTGCGGTTGCTGTAAGTTGGGAGAGACTTGATGGCAGCTAACAACAGTAACAATCAACAGTGGTGTGTTTCTC